CAAAGCTCTCCACCTTTGCAGTCGCCGGCCCCACAGTCCACCACAAGGGTCATGATGTGATCATCGCCAACCTTGCTATCTACGTGGGGCCGGAAAAAATCGCCTGGCTCATACAACAAGACCTTGTACAACTTGGCAACCAAATCCACATCTGGGCAGAGCGTTGCACGGACTTTGGACAAGACAGGCTGAAGATCAGCCCAAAGGACGTCCACATTTTGAGTCTCCATGGTTCGCCTGATGTTCTGCTCAACCACTGTCTCAGATCCCCGACCAAAAGGGGCTTGCTTGCACAAAGCCTTCAATTCTGCAAGATCTTGAGGCAATGACAAGATCCCCGTCGCTGTGCTCAAACGCGGGGTCTCTGCCACCCCACTAGCAAACAAAGGATTTGGAAGAGCCTCCACAATGGATGCGAAAGCATCAATGACACTACAAGCAGCAGGACTTCCCGGTGGGAAGACCTGGCTTCCAGTGCTTCCAGGACTTGACGGAAGCGGACTCGAGGAACCCGATCTCGAGGAAGCCGACGATGATGTATCCATTTCCACAAAGCCGGTCCTACTGGCTCCCTTATAGTATATTTTTAATAGGAGGCCCTAACAGTAATATTGGTAATTATTTAGGGTTCTATATGTCTGCGTGAAGCTTGTTTAGTCTTCCCTTGAGCGGGATGGCTACTTTTCTCTTCTCTGCATTGGCAGCAAAACTTGTCCTATGCACAACCAAACGCCGAATTTCCCGAATCCTAAACCCTAAACCCCAATCTCCCTCCATGGTCCTCCGAGGGTGACGCAGGCCATTGTCCAGCAAGGCTGCCACTCAGTGCTGCAGGAGATGCCCCCTGTCGTTTCGGCTGAAGACAACTATTAACTGCCGCTATCCGGACGACGACGATAACCGTGTGAAACTCAGAAGCTACAGCGTGGATACTATTGCTGCCATTACTCTGTACAGTTTCATCATGTTCATCCTGCCTGACATTGATTCGAAGTCAGTCAAAGCCTGGAAAAGAAGGTCCTCGACCGAAGCACCACTGCTTAAGCTGAACGCTTGAATCAGCCCCGAACGTCCAACATCTCCCAACACGGCAAAGTCAAAGGTCTCGTACCCATTGGCTCCACGATACCTACACTGGAAATCTCCACCTTGTACCTGTAAAGCTTCAACTCAGAGACTGCCCCATGATTCTTAAGCCTAACGCCCATAAATCCTAAACCCTAAACCCTCCACCCTAAACCAAGCCTGAAAAGGTGATGCCGGCCACTGCCCAGGGCCGCCGGCCTGTGTGGCACTCACTTCCTAGCCATTCAAAACATTAGACTTCTAATTACTAATTAATACTACTACTAATAATCATGATGCTAACAGTACTAGTACTAATGCTAATGCTAACAATCATAGTCATACTAACAATAATACTAATAGAGTTAGTTCTAATACGAATACTGCAGACTGCCACACAACCGGGGAGGAGAGAGCTGGAATGAGAGAGGTTGCGTGTCTGCGTGTATTTTCATGTGTCTGTATCTTGGTGCACCTGCCTGTCTGTGCATGTCCAAAAATAAACGAGCAAGATAGAGATTCGTGCGCACATGTGCGCAGTGGAGCGTGTGGACACACATTTGCGTTTGTTGATCTGTCTATCTGTATATGCATGCACACATCAGCACATGCATTAGGTGACCCGCTAAAATGTGCTTTGCAGGACATGGGCCCCTGTTCTGGGGGGGCGGGGAGGGGGGGGGGGGGGGGGGGGGCGTCCTCTGTAATGTTAGTGAATTTGGGACGGACGCTGCTTTGGGTCTGGGACTTCTGGTCGACTTCTTTTCAGGAGATGATGCTTTGGCTGGGGCACTGCAGGCAGTGCTACATATTACATATGTATATATATATATATGTGTATGTATGTATGTATGTATGTATGTATGCATGGATGTATGTATGTATGTATGTATGTATGTATGTGTCGACAGTCACATATGTGTGTATGTGTATGTATATGTGCATGTGCATTTGCACTTATATGCCTGTCTGTGTGTGTGTGTACACAGAGCGATCTGAGAATCCATCTAACTCTCCGTATGGGTCTGTACAAACACTGTTGCAAACCGACCTGTCCGTCACTCTACACAACAAAGCGCTTGCACGTACTAGGCATCTGTCTACACAACCAAGTGTCAACACTACTGCATCTGACGACACATGCGGCTATGTCAATGCAAATCGACTGAAAACTGGACGCATATATGTATGCATACATACGTACATACTTACATAGACAGACCGGGACATACATACAAACATACGTACACATATACATACACACATACGTACATATGTTACTTGCATACATACATACATACATACATACTTACTTACTTACACTACACTACACTACACTACACTACACTGCGCTACACTACCCTGCACCACACTACACTACACTGCATTGCATTGCATTGCATTGCATTGCATTGCGTTGCATTGATATATATATATATGTATATACATAATATAAATGTACGTACAGAAGTAGATACATACATAAGTCTGTACATAGATGCATACATAGGTGCGTACATGCATACTTGTAAACTTAAACGCATACTTACTTGCTTACATACATACAGACATACGGACATGTAAACCTACAAGCGTACGCATGTGTAAGTATGTAAGTAGAACATACATACACAATAGTTATACATCCTGGTCTAGCAGATCTAGAACCATACGACGTACGACTATACATGGGCGTTCACTTGCTCATGTATAAGGCAAGCCATGCACGTATGTTCATGTTTATGAGTTGGCCAACCCATGTCTGCTTAGCATGAATACACACATGAACAAAACATGCTTCACACATTTGCCTGTCAAGTTCTTGCGCTTTCTGGGTCACCTCAAGATTGCGGGAGCAGGATCTACGATGATTGGGAAAGCCCCAACTCTGAACTCCAAACCACTCACTAGATACATTTAAGCTACAGAGATGTCAACCGATGGGCCCCCAACAGCAATCGATTTCGGCCCCAGCCTGCACTGGTGAGCTTGCAGTTGGCGAGCCGTTTGCGATGCCGGGGTGTGAGGCCTTCGCAAGCCCTAACCCCCCAGGTACCTACTATATAGGGCCATAGGGGCTCTAGTACCCTATATAGTAGGTACCCGGGGGGTTAGGGAAGGGCAAGCACTCCACCCAACCGCACATGGCGAACGCTGAAGCTCGAAGCCGCAAGTCTAAACCCTACAAGTACCATGTAAAACTCCAAACCGTAAACCCTGAAACCCAAAATCCTTGCTGAGGGTGGAGATCCCCCACCATTGAAATAATTGAAATGGCCCTATTTCAATTATTTCAATAATTTGGGGTGCCGGAGAATTAAAATAATTGAAATAATTGAAATCGGCCCCATTTCAATTATTCCAATTATTTCAATTATTGAAATGGGGGGGTCTGAGTGGAGCCAACTGAAGATAGAAGAGATTTCAATCACTTCAATTATTTCGGGCCCTTCCAAATTGAAACAATTGAGATACGCCTTTATGTTTTTAATAATTTTAATTATCTCAAGTATTTCAATTATATTCAATAAGAATAGTTAAGAAGAGGCGTCAAATAGACCCTAAAGGAGCCTCTCTCATATTTATATACATATACACAGAGAAAGAGAAAGAGAGTGAGAGAGAGAAAGAGAGAGAGAGAGAGAGACAGAGAGAGCGAAACAGAGAATAGCAGAACATCCATACGCAGACAAACGAGACACACGGTCATTCCCCTTCACCGTGTCGTCAGCCCAACATATGGGGCTCAAGGATTTGAACCGGGTTTAGGCGTATATTCTAATACAAACATACAACCCAAAAAGGATATTGTTGGCAATGAAACCCCTAAACCCTAAACCCTAAACCCTATAAACCCTAAACCCTAAACCGGGCCCTAAATCCTAAACCGTCCGGCGTAGCCTCCCAGAGCCCTGCCTCTGCTCTGAGGCTCAACATTTGAAACTTTCAGACGCACAGTTTCGCAAAGCTTTGGACAGCCAAAACTTGATGAAAGTTTGGGGTTTCGGGTTAGGGTTTAGGGTGTAGGAACCGATCTGTGCTGCGTATAAGATGTAGAGTTCGAGATTGAAGTTTAGGTGGAAATTTGCGTATCCCTAAACCCTGAACTTCAACCCCAAAACCCTAAACCCTCAAACCTTCAGACCCCACCACACAATTCCAAGACTCCAAAACCCGAGAAGCTACACAACAAAAACGACCCTTCAAAGGTACAAACCTGAACCCTAAACCCGAAATATCCCAATTAAGCCCTGAACCCTAAGCCTAGAACCCTAAACCTGGACAGTTTCAGACCCTCTTCTTCGAAACCCTATCTCTGGCACCGTACCGACACCCCAAAGCCCCAAAGGCATAGCCGCAACACTAAACCCTCAGGACCCGCTGGCCTGAACCTGAAACCCCGAAGGCCCTGAACCCAGAAAGCCCCTACAAAAGCCTGACAAAACCCTGATTTCGGCTTTGCGGTTTAGGGTTTTTTTTTTACAGTTGGGTCGACACTGTTGCGTCTGCGGTTTAGGGCTTAGGGTTTAGGGCTGCTGACATAACCCTAAACCCTAAACCCCTTCCATCCTTAAACGGAAAGGTTTGCGCACCTCGGAAGGCCCTGTGGCCCACGGACGAGGATGCGCTGTTCCAGATGCCGGCGCCTGAAGGGGACTTGGATCTCGGTCTTTAGAGTTTACAGTTTAGGGTTTAGGGTTTACAGGGCTCGGGCGGTTTAGGACCGATGGTTTAGGGTTGAAAGGGCGTTGGCTTAGAGTCTACAGGGTTGAAGGTGTATGGGGTTTTGGGCTGGGTCTGAGGATTTGCTATACTTGGAGGTTCATGGG